GAATCATCAGTAGGATAAAGAGGGGAGTTCAGTTCTTCACTTCTCTTGGGAAGGAGTCAATTCAGCACAAACTGGAATGGTCATTTATGTGATGTGGGCAACTGTCTACAAGGAATTAGACTGAGAAACACTATGTTCATTTCACTTAGTCCACTGAAACAACTCAGGCACTAAAATGAAGCCCAAATTGTAAACTGACATCTAATTTTCCAAGACACTGGCTCAGAATCATCACAACTGCAGAAAACGAGATGTCATCACAAGCTTTCCAGAGAATTCTCCATGCCAGATTGGCACACTTGGATTAAAACTATAGTATAATTTAATAAGAAGAGCTTTTCAGAGGAATAGCTGCTGCGAAGCATTCCCACTGGCATACAAAAGAACCTCAGCTCTTTGTTATGTTTCCCAATCTAGGACTTTGTTGGAAGCTTAGTGAAAACAACCCACAAGGTATGAGCCTTTCACTAAAACCCCACAGTGCCATGCCAACCTTAATCTAACACTATCCTTAGGTGCAAGGCACTTGTATCATGTTAGTGAAAGTTACAAGTGAGCATTAAGAGTGGTTGTAAATCTCATGTCTTCCAAACAAAGGCCACTATAGCCTCATGTTAAAGTAAATGTTCAACAGAGCCAGCCTTCTAACAAGGCTATTGGTACTAAAGTAGCACACAGTCCAGCAGCTGCTGTTGTGATGCTGCATCACCAGCAAACAGGCCAAATAAAAGGTTCTTTTTCTAAGCCCTGAGGTAAAACCTGAGGCTGTTTATGGTGGCTTCAAAGGTCAAAATTAATCGTGAGAGCAGAGTTCTTCCTCCTCTTTGAAATGAAACAACCAGCTGGGCATCAAAGTCTGATCTGCACATCATACATGTGTAAATCACTACAAGATGCTCATCCAATCAGCACACACAGCTCCTATGCATGCAAAGGTCCCTTGCTATCCCATCATAGAGCACACATTTCCTCTGCACAGCAGCATCCTCTCTTCTGCCATCCCAATGCCCGGGAGTCCAAAAGGAGCATACTTTTTTAGGTTCCAGAATCACCGTAAAATTGTTAACTTCTGAAATCATGTAAACCTCATGGGTCATTTACACTACTCATCAGACTTCATGCAGTAGTAGCACAGTCACCAAGAAAGGATGTGTACAGATGTGGTAAACACTGAAAACTGTGTGATGGCACACAAGTGAACTGCCGTCCTTTCAGTGTCTTGAATAAAGATTCCAAAGTAGAAAGAAGAGGGGATCTCTGTCTTGTTTCCTCTTCCCAATAAGGATTCAGGAACACAACTCAGAGCTCTTCCTAATTTATATTCCTGGCTCCTTCCACCCCACTCCCATAATCTAAATGCCATGTGTCTCTGGATACAGACTGTCCCCCTTCTTCTGACCTCCAGAAAGTACAATACATGAGTTTCCACCCCCAACCACATTTTGGAGGATGACCAGGGAACAAATGGCAATGGAGGCAATCTGTCTTCCCTCCACCTATCATTCAGACCTATCACTCAGACTCCAAGACCCAGAAGGAAGGTGAAACAGAGGTTCAAGTCTGCTCTGAAATTCATAGACTCCCTCTAGGAAAGATCATGCTTAACAGACCATCAGGCCAAAAGAAAAAAAGGGGGAAAAAACCTACATAAAGCACCTTCCCAATGATGGAGCCATGGAGCATATTAAGGTCTAATCAATGATTCTGAGTATCTACAAACCTAGCCCATTTACAGTACCCAAATAGCTGCTCACTGCTACCACTATGCATAGTGTCAAGGTGCAGCAGAGAAAAATGGGTGGTAGTGGAACAGGTGAAGGGAAGAGAATGGGGAGAACAATACTTAGCTGTCCATGTCTCTGTACACTTGTCTGTATAAGTCTGCACTGTCAAGTGGAAACCTTAACAGACAAGGCATGATTAGCAAACGCTTTTGTGCTCTTAAAGGAGAGTAATTATAGGCATGTGAAAAAAGGGAAGTGATCCCTGAGGTACTCTTCCTTGCACACCTCCCAAGAGGGAGCAGGGCCATTAAAAATTCCATGATGAAGAGGAAAAACAGCCTGGGAACAGCCAGGAGGCAATACAGCAAATTAATACACCAGCTACCCCTGGGGAGAGCTGCAAGAAAGCAGAAAACTCTCCTTGCTTTGCAAAATAAAATTATACCACTAATGATAACAGAGTCATCGCACACACACAAAACTGCTTTTAATGATGGGTGTGAAATTCCCAGTGCTGCCCAGACACTTTGAACAAAATCTCTCCTCATCACAGACAGAAAGCAAGAAAGGAAGTCTTGCGTGGTACAATTTATACAGCCTTTCAACTGCATCTTCCCAAGGAACCCTCCACAAGTACCTTCTCCTTGACACTAAACAGCCCTTCTTATATGCCAATAGATCTGCACTCAGCATTCTGACCAGAAGCACTGTTTAAAACATAGCACTGGGCACCAAAACACTCACTGCACTGCCAGACAAACTGCACCAAAAACCACCAGAGAGGGGGGAGAAACCCCCCCCCCAAAAAACATTTCCTTGAGGAAAAAGAGAACAAACACCACTTGATAACTGTGTTTCTAACAGATACATTTCCAAAAACTTTCCAGCCAGGCAGTCAGCAATAGCAAATAATTCAAGAAATCGAGCAGAGGGAAGCAGTAGTACTTCACACAGTGAGCGCCATACTGCATGTGGGCATCTAGTACATTTCTACATAACGTCTAGGACAGGCTAATGTCTAAGCAGACATCGCTTTCTTCCTACACCTTAGAATCATAGAACACTAGAACTGGAAGGGACCTTGAGAGGTCACTGAGTCCAGTCCCCTGCCCGCACGGCAGGACCCAGTACCATCTAGACCATCTCTGATAGATGTCTATCTAACCTGCTCTTAAATATCTCCAGAGATGGAGATTCCACAATCTCTCTAGGCAACTTATTTCCAGGGTTTAGCCACCCTGACTTTGTGTTTTCCCACTACCCTTGGACAAGTAGATAGATGAAGCCGCTGTAGGAAGATTTGAAACATACAAAAGCATATACTAACAGCAACAGCTGATTCCAAATCTGGAATACTGAGAGACTTTGGTAACTAAAGCAGTCCGTAACAGGAAAAACTAACTCAGCTACCCCTCTGAAGTTGCTATAATAGAGTTTGTGAAAGCGGGCTGACCTTTTCATATCTTTAGGTAAAGCAAAGCATCTTCAACTAAAAGATTTCAGTCTTACCTAGGTATATGGAAATACAAATGCATTTTCACTTCTACTGCATCTTTCATACCAAAGAAATCTTGAGCATTTTTCACACTAAACACTGGAACCACTTATCCTCATTGCAGGCCCTTGAAATGAAGCCACTTCTAGTGTGGTCAAACCAATTGCTTAACAGTATATGGCAACACATGACCACAGATTAGAAGAAGGGGTAAAGAATACAACATAAGCTTCAAGATGCAGAAGGAACTGAAGATAAGAAGAAACTACCAGGGTTAAAGTTGGGCCAGAACGTGAGGTTTATTCTTTGAAATAGGGTAGTAATTTCTGAAGAAGGGATCTCAAGATGCATGCACACCCATCCATTGGTTACTAAATCATTCATGTAACAGAAATTAGAAACTCCAAGAATCACACCTGCTTCAGAAAAACTTTGCTCAACACAGCCACAACCAATAGCTTTGGGACCAGGGGAAAATTTTCATGGGTGCCAACAGCTTCTCTCTGCCTGGATTTATTAGCAGGAAACAGGTGTCGTCTTATAGAGAGTACAAGGAATGGCTGGCTCCACTCATAGCATTAGCATATGCTCAGTGCACCAGAAGAGATCTGCTCACTGCCCTATGCAGAAATGCAGCTTTAAGATTCACAGTGGGGTTTACAATGCGTGCAAATCTAAACGCAAGAACCATTGTGAGAAGCATGTTTGCTGGCTGGTAATCTCTTGCATTCTTTTTACTCTTATCCTGCCTCTGGTCCTCCAGCTGCTGTGTCCTAAGCAGGAGTCACAGACCTGCATGCATGACATCATGGTGCGACATCACGAATTCCCTGCAGATGCCAGTGGGAGGAGAGGCTAAGCTGGGAAGATGCCAACCTTTCATTTAGATGAACAACTCCAGTATATTTTTCATACCCTATTTACTAATTAACAAGTGAAAGGAAACTGAAACTTTAAGCATGGAGAGACCCTTCAGAATAAATCTATCTTTATGGACATAGCAGAGTTCCCTCCCGCGCTAGGCTTCATTCAAACACAGTACAAAAGGAGCAAAGGTGCTTCACACTTTGACAGCAGCAACTGCTATGAGGCCAGCATTTCAATCAGATTTAGCATTGGCCAGAAGAAGGCACTTGTATAACATATGACCCTTCCTCCTGGAACCCAACAATGCCAACTCAAACACGCCCAACCCATTGATCATTCCTGACCCAAGTCTCTCACCATAATGCCAAAGCACAGAGATATCACCAATCACAAAAAGTTCTCTCAGTCTGCTATCGGTTCAGGATACCCACTTCAGATACTTAGGGATTTTAGGGTTCCTCAGTTATGCAGATTAGCCTCTCATCACTTTCTTTGCAGTTTGGTCTCCAATTCTAATAGGCAACCATTTCATAGAGTCATGCAAGATTAAGTTTGGAAGAGGCCTCAGGAGGTCATCTAGTCCAACCCCTGCTTGAAAGAGGACCATCTATGCCTTCATATGATCTACAGCAACCTACTAGCTTGATATTACTGGCCACTGGGTGGCAGAGCTCCAGTATGTATTTCAAACACAGACCATGCTCTGTTCCCAGCATCCTATTGCTCATTATTCTGTACACTCACTGGCAACTAAGTGGAGACAAACTCATTGCACATGTATACTTTATTAGTACTGGAACCCAGGTTTCTAAGAGCATTAACTCCCAGGTTTACTAGTACTCAAGGTACCAGACATGTGCTAAAGGAAAAGAAATGAGACAATTCTCATAATAGGAACAAAGCAGGGGAATTACCTGGCAGTGCAGTGTGCTGGTAAGCATCTTCGGTGTGAGGCATCAGCAAGAACATCCAGAGAGTACAAAGGAGATAACGGATTGAACTGGAAAGTCCAAGAGAAATTATTTAAGCAGTGTTTAAGGAACAGTCTCCAGATGCAGCAGCTCATGCATTGTTCAGAAACTCTCTCCAACACACCATCAAATAATAGGGCCAAGTGGTATATGACTGAGCCCTCCACTCTACCTTCCTTCAAGGCAACAACCCTGCTGGGGAGTTACTCCTCTTGCTCAGCACACAAGCATCACGGTGAACAGGAGGATGTTCAGGGAGCCCCATATGGAACTACTGCTCTCCATGTCCAGAGTCCACCTCCCTCAGGGTGTCCATGCCCTTGGACCCAAAGATGGAAATCACTTCCATAAATACAAGTTAAGCTGCAAGTAAAACAACTCCTTCCTCACACTGAGCACAATGAAGCAGATTCATTACCAGAAGACTAGCCAAGCTCCCAAAAGCTCAGTTTCAAGGCTAAACTCAAGAGAGAGCTCCCCGTTACTTTCACAGCTAGATGAGAGACCCTTCCCTCAGTTAGCAAGGTCTCTTCACATCAGGGATCCTTTTAAAACCAGTTTCAGAGAAGTAGGGATATTTATCCTGCCCTTCTGGTCTTTACACTTATTTACACTGCACACACTGGAATAGCCTGGGAGCCATCAACCCGATAAAGGGCATCTTATCTGCAAGGACACAACCCTAGAAATGTTTTTATTCTTTTTAAGGAAGGGGTGGGAATTGAACAGTCAATCATCCACATAATGAGATGGAGCAGCTTGTAAACAGAATTCATCCTGCTAGCTATCCTATACATGCCTGCATTAACCTCACATGCATCACCACCAAATCCTCTCCTCCTGTTTGTTCTCAACTTTGACTGGAAGCTCTTCAGGGCAGGGAATCCATTTCTGTGTGTGCTTTAAAATGCTAGATAGTAGGGATGTCATTACACAATTAACCATTAATCTTGTCAACTTCATGCATTTCCCCCCTTCGCCTGTGTATCAGAGGCAGCAAAAGAGAGGAGGCAGTGCCCATGAGGAGTTGGTTTTAAGCAGGCTCCCCAAGAGCACCAGATCCACCTCCTGCCCTCCCCTCCCTTCCCCCGCGCTGCTGCCTCTGATAGAAAGAGAGACGCACAGAGGGAAAGGGAGGCACACTACAGCCAATATGTCTGAGGTATCAGCTTTCAAGCCAGCTCCCTGTGTGTGCCTGCTCCACAGACCTGCTCCTACAGAGGCAATGGGGCAGAGGCAGCCAGGATCCAGTGCTGGGGGGAGCCAGTTTTGCTGGTTTCCCCCAGCACTGCTGGGAAGCAGCCTCCATCTGAAGTGAGCCTAGGCTTACCAGACAGAGGCTACTTCACAGCAGCATCCCCTGTCCATTGTGCAGCCCGAGCTCCCTGCGGACAGAGGCTGCTCCACGGCAGCAGCTCCTATCTGTTGTGGGGAGGCCTGAGCTTCCTGCAGACAGAGGCTGCTGCCCCCCTGCACTACTGCCTCTGTATCAGAGGCAGCAGTGCAGGGCAGTAGGCAACTGGTCTGCGCCCGAGCTCCCTGCGGAGAGGCTGCTCCACGGCAGCAGCTCCTATCTGTTGTGGGGACTCGCAGATTGGCTCCTGCCTGCCACCCCATACTGCTGCCTCTGATATAGAGGCAGCTGCGCAGGATGGCAGGGGGGCTCACCAGGAGTGGGGCCAAGAGCACACTGGCTGCTGGCCCCTTCCCCATGTGATTACACAACTATTCAATTACATGCTAACATTCCTACTAGACATCTCTGATACCTCTCTATTTTAAGATAGAGCAACTTACCACATACAGTAATTGGAATTCTTTGAAATGTGTTCCTCTATGGGTGTTCACAGTAGGCATGTACGGGCTTGTCTACACTGACAGTTTACTAAGCTATAACTTTTCCATTCCGGTATGTAAAAAAAACACCCCCACTTCCAAAACGCAGCAAATTACAGTGCTGTAAAGTGCCAGTATGAACAGGCTCCTAGTGCTGGGAACTGAGCTCCCAGCGCTGCTGCCATGACAACACTGCAATGTTGAAGTGCTGCCACAGCTGCACTTTAAAATTAGCAGTGTAGACCAAGTCTACATGCCTTCAATAGATTTTTAACAGCAGTGTCTTTTTGGTCTGGGTGTGTGCCTTAATCATTGTAATGGCTCATACTAAAGATCATAGATCTACAATGAACAAACTACCATCAGTTCCTTCTCTACTACAAAGTCTCTCAGAGACGAAGGTGCCAAAGTAGAGAGGAAGAAGTGTAGGTAGTGGAGTATCAGTAAGGGGACATCTCCAAGAACACCTGCTATCTTACAAGGCAGGTAACCGCTTCTTCGAGTTGTCCTTATGATGGCTCCACTTGAGGTATCTCCCTTAGCAGCGCACAGAAAGAAACGAGAGCTTTGAAACCCAGTCTAGAACTGTTTGCAGAAATGCAGAACCAAAGACAATATTTGCCCTGAAAGTACACACTAAAGCATAGTGTCTTCAGAAGATGTGAACTGAAGCCCATGCAGCAACTTTGCATATTTCTGCTATAGGAACCTATATAGCCTAGAGGATAGCTAGAGTGCATGTGTGGATCAAACAGGCATTGTTGTTGAAAATCTCCTCTCAAAAGCACAGAGGAGGAGGTCAAAGGACCAAGTTTTCTTGCTCCTGTTTATAATATTTGATATTATTAATCTTTCAGCTATGGAAGGACTCTGGTTATAAACACCTCTCAGGAATCCAGAACTCAATGCCACCTTTTATAAACAAAAGGCTTGACACAAGCTAAAGAGATGCTATAATCTCTGAGCCGTCAATTACCAGAGGGCTCCTCCTTTAAATGGACCATTATTCTATTATCAGACAAACAACATTACATTATTATGGGATGGAAATGCCAACAACCCTTGTAGCTATTTAAGTTCATAAGAAAAATATTTCCAATGGCTCTCAGGGTCTGTGCGGTCAATCTTCACTCTGACACTCAGAGCACTAAGAACTTTGAATGTTAGAGAGCTGTTTGAATGGGCTGGAGAGGGAGATGTGACATTAATACTATGGTACAAAAGTAGTTCTATCACCCCAGAGACAGGGAACGCTCACTCAGCCACCTGAGACAGCAAGACTGAAACCCAATTTCAAAAACAAGATGAATTCAACATCAGTGTCTGTGAAAGAAACTGATTATCTGACCACTGAACAGAAGGAGGCACCATTGCTGTGAGGAACAAGACAGTACTGGTGCTCCGGAGGAAGAGGTCCGTTGCCTCGGCAGCATCACAGAGACCTGGCTCTCCTGCTTTGGCTAGATGAGCCAGTTATCATTGAATGTGATCTCCATAACACACTTTTGGAGAAAACTTGACAGTGCACACTTGTGTAGGAGTAATGGAGAGCACAGGAGCTGACTATTTTCCCTCTGCATCACTTCCCAGTACTTCTGTTGTCTGGTTGATATTTAACTGTAACCAGGCCAACAGCTTTTCTTCCTTTTCAGGATCACTGGAAAAAGCATGATCCAAAAGGATGAAAGTGAAGGGTTTAAATCTAGAATGAGTCCCATTCATAGGTTTGCACTGAATTCCTTATGGCCAGAGTTCCTACAGCCAAGAAGACTCTTCCATCCAGCTTGTTGTCAAGGCTGAAGTTAAAAAATCAGATGGACCAAGGGAGATTTCAGAAGATGACTGGGGTACTAGGGAACTATTCAGTACCAACAGCCCATATGATCGCTGGCATGCAGGATGAACTGGAAGCCCAGAAGATTTCAGAGTGAGATGAAGGGCTGAGGCAGCCTTACCTCATGTGCACAGGCCATAATGTGGTGGAAATCAGAAGCCAGCACTTTGTTCTTTCTAGAGAGAAGAAAACCAAAGGAGAAAATAAAAAAGGGCAGAGAAGAGCCATCTTACCTGGTTGCGGTCTCTCTTCCCTGTCGATGGTAACCAGAAACTGGGAGGACGAAAGAGAAGGAGTAGGGGCAGAAAGGTTATGGGGAACAGAGAGATGGGGAGGAAAAAAACAGATGGAGAAAGAAGTGAGACAGATTAAACACTCACAGGACTCATACTAAAAATGACAAAGCTTCAGACACAAGTAGGCAAGTGAATCTGAGTGCTGATAGCCAGTGAAGACTGGATTCACTGCAGCATGATCAGGAAGAGCCACCCTACCTGGCAAACCACTACAGTGGCAATTCCAACCACTCTGCTCTGCTCATGATTATGAGGAGGAGCTGGGAGGGAAATGCAGAACATTTAATCTGTGGGGAAGGCAAACTGGCTGGTGTCCTGTCAGCACCACTTCCATGGCCTAGCTCTGTTCCTGTAGTGCTCCTCCATACATAGTGCTATTCAATAATAAGCAGAGAGAGCCCTCCAAGGCTCTGCTGGGGACTGATGGATTTTTCAAGTGCATGTTGTGAAGAAGGGAGGAGGAAGGTGCAATGCAATTAAAGTGTTCTGCAGCTATACATTGGGGCAAACCTATAATGAGGGGATATGAGTAAATGTAAACACAACAGAAGGAACAAATTTTGGACCCAACTACCTCCCATCCCACAGGTTATTTTGTTCTCACACTCGTGATCCCAATGAGTAAATGGAAAGGGGAAGTCTCAAGGTCTTCATAATGCACCCTCCCCTTCACCTATTCAAAAGTGCTAGACCGTAATCAGTAGCATATAGGTCCTTACTCTTTTTGACGTGGGTCACTAACAATGTGACCCATCCTCTCAGTGCCCAGAGTGCTCAAGCTGGTCTCCTGAAACACAAAAATAGGCAAAAGCTTCATCTGAGACATTCCCCCTCCTCCCAGAAGCATACCACAAAGACCTAAAATATATTCAAGGTCCTATTTTCCCAGAGCAACCTGGCCCTGGCAAAGATGACTGTAAATCCCCTCAGGGACAAAAGGTTCCTGAAAACAGTTATTTCAAGCTACTAGGTGAGGCTGGCAGCAGAGTTCCTACTATGCCTACGAAGCAGATCCTCTAGCTCCTCTTTCTCATGAAGCTGAACCTTCCTACTTCTTCCTCCTTTACAACATGCACTGCAAATAAAAAGGGGAGGGGATTTCACCAGTCTAGAGAAAGGAACCACATGGGAGCTTGTACTGTCTGAAAGCAGCCAGTTCAGTAAAAGGCCCTGCAGCAGTTAGTAAAAGCACATTCCAAGAGGGAGGAATTGCTTTGGGAACTTGGTTCTCACTGAAGCACATGCTTGTTGCCTGCACATATTCGCACAGGAGGCCCTAAATGTCAGGCTGTTCATCTTATGGCAATTGGCCATAAAAAAATTCACTACAGGGGAGGGGAGAGGTGTATGTCAGAATCTAGATATGAGAGAGAAGGCTCCACAGGCCAGACTCTCCAGAGCTTATACCAAACTGCTTGGGCACAACTGAACATGAGGTTTAAGGGAGGCAGTGGCAGCAGCACGGGTGAAGAAAGATGGGCTATTTGTTACAGCAGGAAAATTATTAACTTAAAGTGCCGTAATGTTTAAATTTACGGTTTATTACTGTGTAAATTACAAGCCGTACTTTGGGTAATTAGCAGCTCGCTGGCGGGGAGCTCTGAATGAAACTCATTATTTATGATTACAATTTAGAGAGAGAAGGGGGAGGGGGAGCAGTGACCTCCGCTGGAAATGACAAAGATCCCTTTAAGGTGATGAAGATGAATTAAACAAGTAAATATTATCCTTCTCATTTGGGATCGTTAGAGGAGTCTCCAACAGGCATAGGCATTTGCAGATGGCCTGAAGAGCCCTGTTCAGAGGAGATTTCACTAGGGAGGTTAAAATGCGTTTATTCAAGTAAACGTGTAACCGCTGAAATTTTCAGCAGTTATATGGAGGGGAAGGAGGTCTCAAGGAGCCAGTGTGTGAAGGGAGCTGGTTTTTAAGATGCAGTGGCAGCAGCGCTGGGGGGGACAGGCAGCTCCCCATGCATACCAGCTCCTGCCTGCCCCCCATGCTGCTGTCTGACAGAGGCAGTAGTGTAGGGAGACAGGCGGCTCCGCTGGAACCAATATGCATGGGGAGCTGGCTTAAAAGCTGGCTCTCCATATGCACGGGTTCCTGTTGCTGCCTCTGATACAGTGGTAACAGTGCAGGGGGCCTGTGTGTAATCATGAAAGTTAAACTGTGTAAACAGTTACACTTTCACATCCCTAGATTTCACACCAACTGAGGACTCATATTTTAAATGCTGGCTCCAACTAAAGATTAATGGACTGAAGAAGAGGAGCTGTGGAGTGTGACTGATAGAGAAGAGAGGGGAACTGTATCCCAATAACCCCCCTCCCCCGAAAACTCTAAATAACTGGAAAAGCTATCTTCTCAATGTGGGAGGGCTTCCTCTTTCTAGTTGAGACATTTTACCATTCCCCCCGTTCCCGCCCTCCATTCTCAGGCAAAAGGCTGGCTGGGAAACTGAACCTTCACCAATTAACGTAAACCAGAGTCTCCAAGAATACACGTTAAGTCCCACTAACAAATTCCCAGTCCTTCACCTCCCTTTGTTCCCAAAAGCCTCCTTATTCCACCATGGCTGATAGCTCCACTCTCTTCCTCATCGTCCCAACACTGATGTAACTTTCACCACGAGTAGGCTTGTGGTAAATCCTGTCTATTTTTTTGTAACAGATATATGTCCTTTTCTCTCTATGCCAACTGCTGTACCTAGCCAAAAATTGTGGTCGTTTTTTACATTCATTACAGTAACCTTCTCTCTGACCTCCTGTCTTTTCAGCCATCCAAAATGGTGCCATTAAAATCATTCTCTGGCACCAATAAGACCATGTCACTGGTCTGTTCAAAACTCTGGCTTCTCTTCACCTTCAACATTAAGTTTAAGCTCCCAGTCCTTGCTTCAGGTTCTGAATCTACAAAGCTCTTCAAATACATCAACTGTCGTCATTTCCCACTATGCTCTGCCAAGCTTCCTGCCATATAGCTCCCTTTATATTCTCCCTCCACCCTCTATCTTCTCACCTTCTTTAGTTGCTTATCTACAAAGTCTTAACAGCAGGATAACACACAGCTTTCTTTTAAAAAAAAAAAAAAAAGTACAGGTTGAACCTATCACAACCGGGATTCCCTGGTCCGGCAACATCCCTTGTCCAGGAGGACCATGGATGTTGCAGGACTAGAGACCTGGTGGAGGGGCAGAGGCAGAAGCCCTGCAGGAGCCAGGAACCCAGCCAGCCTGGCTGCAGGGAGTCCAGCGGCTGGGAACCCTGCTGCGGGAGTCCATCTGAGCTAGTGGCAGGGAAGCCAAAATGCCAGCGGGCTCTGGCAGGGAAGTAGTTTGCTTCAGTGGGGCCAGGAGCCCCAGTGGCAGGGCTGCAGACTGCTACAACATGGCTGGCAGGGCCAGGAGCCCTGGCAGGAAGATCAATGCTGCCCTGGTAGGTCTGCGGCAGACCACTCTCAGCAGCTGAGCAGTTGTCTGCTGCGAGGGGAGACGGTGGGAATCCTGATGGCGGGACTGTAGGCTGGCAGAGCTAGTGCTGCCCGACAGGGATGCTGATGGGGCTGGGAGTACCAGTGGCGGGGCAGCAGTCTGCCATGGTGGAGCTGGGAGCTCCAGAGATGGGACCGTGAGCTGCGGTGGCAGGACAGCAGGGCTGGTGGCAGGTGGGGAGCCAGCCGAGAGGCCACGCCAAGAGATAGGCAAAGTTGGAGAGCTGGTGGCAAGGAGGGCAGAAATGACCTCCCCAGGTCCAGCAAAATCCTTCCTTCGGGACCAGACCAGAGAGGTCCAACCTGTGGTGTATGTCAGACTGCCACACAGGATCTTTCTGCACAAAATAATCCACCTGCTGGTTTACAGAAGCAGCTCCAGACTGACTAGTACAGCAGAGACAGAATTACCCTCTTGGAAGAGGCAATACCTTTCCAACAAGCCTCCTACGTCCTTTTCTGAGACAGCGGGCAGTAGCTCCTGGAAGGCGGTTCAGACGGGCATGAAATCCTGAAAACCAAGAGAAGGAAAAGTCTGAGCACTGGAAGCAGAAGCTTGCTTCTGGTAAAACAGTGATGAGATGGTTTGTGGTCCAGTGCCTAAAGTATGAGACTGAGTCATGAAAACTGGGTTTTATACTCTACTCTCTGACATCTTGCACAAATCAGAACCTCTGTGCCTCATTTTCTCCATAAGACTTACCCAAGAGCTACAGATAAAAATATATATACAGTATTATAAAAGGAGTGAAGAACTTAAGCAGCTGAAATGAAGGACACAACATTTCTTAGCATTCTCTTGTGGCTGGTGCAGCCATCTTTAAATCTAGACTTCTGTTTGCTTTACAGATAACAGCAAACACAATATCAAAATTCCATTTACTGGAGAGGTACATGTAGAGTGTCCACATCACTCTGTTCTAAAAACAGGGCACAACAAAAAACAAATGCAAGTGTATTTTAAAAATCTAGAAACAGGTTAACTTTAATATTAGCTTAAGTTGAACGTTCCTGTTAGTGAAATCTGCTCCGTCATCTGAAGATTCACAAACATACTGCTGAAGCCATCCCATTCCCTGTGAAGCTCACCCCTCTGAGCAGGCCGGGAGGGCAAGAGGAACGTAGAGTCAGAAAGTTTTTCCAGGCCGGAGTCCATTCGTTCCACCTCAGACCGGTGATCAGTTCCCCACTTTGGCAGAAGATTGGGGACGGTGAATCCTGGGACACATTCGCCCTCATAGAACCAATCACTCTGTTCGTCATCCCCTAAAGATGTAGCACAGAGTTACTCCAACATCCCCTGTGAGTGACCCTCAAAATGTTACATGTCAGAATATTGAAGTCACTGGAAGATTCATTGGGAGTTGTTCCTACATTTTATAGCAGTTTTTGTTAAATTTAAATCGATAGTACTGTAATTATGGGGAATTCAACAAGTATTATAGTCTTGTGCTCAGACTATAACAACATAAACAGGATTTTCCATAGAACAGCACCGCATAACATCAAGGCAGCTTTGTTGGATGGATCCTTTTCACTGATAAGTTTAGGAGCAGAGGAAGCTTTAGTGCTCAATTGTCGCTGAACCTCACTGACATTATTTCAGTTCCGTGTGGTGTCTGATGTACAGGCGCAGCTCTTTCTCCAATGTAATTACTAAAGGGGAAGTGAAAATGAGGTGGCCTGATACAAGCATTATGGGCTACCACTTAGGAGCCTTCAAAATTTAGAGAGGAGCAAGTGCTGCACATGCTACCAATCTGTACATCACGAGGAATGAGCCACACTCAGAGGACAGCAGCTTCAAGGAAAAGCACACAACTCCATTAACAATGGCTGGTGTCAGAGCACAGAAAGGGTCAATGAGTATTAACTGTATCATACACCTGACTATGAAAACCCCTTAGGATCTGCCAAGACAACAACTCATTCATGCCTGAGCTAGCAACAACCACCACAAAACCTTCAAAAAACAGAACCCCCAGTGTAATTAACATAGTTGTGTCCTAGTAACTGATCTACAACAGACAAAATTCTGTTAAAGCTGCCTGGTTGCAATTCTCTTCAGGAAACAGGTGAGCAGGCTCAGAAAAAGCAGGCAGCTCAATTCAGCACTGGATCCAGACATCATCCTGAGAAAATAAGCCAGTCCTGCATCCACTCTGAAAACTAATCCTTAGACAGATAGAGCAAGCAGCCCAGACCACAGCATCAGTCCCCAAAATTACTCACAATAATAGACAAGTGCCTGGAATCAGAACATTTCATTCATTCAGACATTTACTTTTATATGTATTTGATACCTATCCTCTGGCAGAGGCTTAAGAAGTGGATTCTGAGATTTAAAAACAACATATCTAAAAAACACATAGGTACTATTTCCCTAAACACTGGAAAATGTATTGTGTGTATAAACATGTTAGACACTAGAGAATAGGCTCAGTAACTCCTATCTCAAGCAATTTCCTTCAAAGTCACTTGCTACATTAGACAGACACTAAAGATCAGCATCAACTATCCCTACAGTGCCTTTCACCCTGAGAGATCCTAACACATTTTATAAACTTACATTCAAACTACACAGGGTTCATTCCTCCACCAATTAGATGCAGCTACTGCTGGGGGTGGAAAACACCAACTGTTCCAACAACATAGTAGTTAAAAGGACAAAAGGGAAGAAAGCCTATATCTAGATGAAACTACATGGGATATGTAGGGAAGCAAAATATAATTTATTAAGTTGGGATTGAGGAGTAATGTTCGTTCGAACCAAGGGGTTTGATTCGAATTGATGAGGCCTGGAGCGCACTTCCTGGTTCGAATCAGCTGGTCATCGGAATAGCATGCAGGCGAGATTATGGTAATGAAGCGCGGGATATTTAAATACATGCTTCACTAGCAATTTCGGTCAGCTACATCTGCATCCATATCTCGAGATAGGGAGCAAGTGTAGACATATCCAGAGAGAAAGTGTTTTTTTTTGCCAGTTTGAAGACTTGGATTTTTTTTTGGTTGATATCTGTTTAACCTCTGTACCTAATAATCATCTTGGACAAAGAATGTGTATGTTACAAGATTTCAGCACCAACACCAGTTAAAGCTCGAGAATACACGAACTTCTGACAACTGCTTCTTCCCTGCCCAAAACATACATTTTTCTGTTGGAGCCCCATTATGCTTGGTATGCTGCTTGTCATATTAGATTGTGAACTCTCTGGAGCAGTATGTTTCTGTAAGGATGGAGCATGACAAGCAGATTGTGGAAACTAACATAATATAAACAACATAGAAACAACTGACCTCTATAGAAAGAGACATCATGGAGTTCTGATGACTACTGTAACTAAGCAGCAAAGTCTGAATAGTCATCCACAAGAACCAGGGATGTCAATTGTGTTCAACTAACACTATCGATTAGTTGATAAACAAGGGAAACTGCAGAACCACAGCAGGGTTAGCTCCTGGCCCTAGAGCTAACCCCACTGCAGCTCTGTCTTTTAAATGTATTAAGAGTCTGCTGTCTCTTGATACGTTAAAGGCTGAAGCGCATTAGGGGGCACCAAGCATGAGTTGGGACTGCTGATTCCAAGCTCACACCCGGTTCCCCCCCCCACTGTGCTTTAGTCTTTTAAATGTCTTAAGAGCCTGGCAGTGCTTAATACATTTAAAAAGCACAAGTACTATGCCTCTGACTGTGAAGATGGTGCTGAAGGGAGGGAAAACCAGCTCCTACTCCCCCCCCTTGCTGTCTATCTCTGATAGAGGCAGCAACGGGGAGGGGGGGGGGGAGTTGACTATCCGACTAGTTGAGTCACTAGTTGACTAGTGACTAGTTGAGTCACTAGTTGACTATCCAATCAAGCATATACTTATCGGGTAGTTGACTAGTTGCTTACATCCCTACCAAGAACCCAACAATATGTATTTTTGCCTTAATAACATTTCCCCGATATTGAATTTTATATAGTTGATAATCACAACATTTCAATAAAAAATGCATGGTTTTTCCCCAGCCACTATCCCTTCCTCACACATCCTGATCCCCTCCAATCTCTGCACTGCACTGAATTTGCATTAACAAGGAGAGAAAGAGAGAAATTCCCAATTGAGCAGGAATTAAATCATGAGACAGTAGTTACCTTGGCGGCCTTCGTCATTGGTGAAGAGGCCAGTGTCACTGCTGCTGCATACACTGCTGGTTTCACTGCAAAGTACAAACTCAGTTAACCCCCAAAACAATATTTTACAGTAATAATCTTTTACATTTTGCCAGTGCCCTTCATCCCAAAAGGACTTTATTGTGCTTTCTATGCCATACAAAATGGGAATCAGCTCATCACTGACACACGACTACCTTTGGCATGGAACATAAAAGCTGTGAGACAGCTCACTACAGGTTAAACCTCTCTATTTCAGCACCCTCAGGACCTAACCAATGCTGAACCAAAGAATTTGCCAAACCATGGGAGATCAATAGTGTCTATCAGCATTACCAACTCCTCCATTACTTACTGAGCTATTAAAAGACATTTGGGGTAAATTAGAACTAAATAAGAATACGGAACACTGAGAGCCAGGACTGGTGGCTGTAAACAAATGTTACAGAACGGCAGGAAACTTGGCCACATCCATAAGCAGACTGTCAGCTAACTGAAATCATGATGGACCATGGATGTTGCCAAAGAGTGTCAGACTAGAGAGGTTCAACCTGTACAACGCTATGCAGTTTAGGAAGAATCCTGTATCCAAAGGGAAAATTTAAGTTATCAAAACATGATGATCCAAAATGGAATTAGGCCAGAGCACCAAGGCTAGTGACCATAATAATAATACATTCTGCAGATATCCCCTTCTCTGATAACGAGCAGGTAACAGAAATTAAGCTATATACTCGCTTCATGGGTCACCCAATGGCCACTGACAATTGTACCACAACTTTTTCTTTTTAGACTCCATTTTCCAACATGAATGGAACATAAATGCTTTGTCTTCAATGCCTTCTCCTTTCTTTGGCTGGATAAGGGACTGTAAGTGTACATCTACCCTTCAAGCACTACAACAGCATAGCAGCACCGCTGGAATAACAGAAGGAGTTTTCTGTTATAGCAAGTAGTCGACCCCCCCGAAACAGTACCTAAGTTAATGGAAGAATTCTTGCATCAGCCTACCTGCATCTACAGTAGGGATTAGGCTGACCAAATTACGTCACAGGGCATGAAAATTTTCACAGCTCTCTGAGAAACATAGCCAGATCAACCAAAGTTTTAGCACAAACCAAGCCTCAAGTCCTCAACTACTCATCCAAATAAACCAGTATTATATAGCCTGCTGCTACAAGTAACCCTCAGTTAGACTGAGTTTTAAACTTGGCCACTGCAACTGCTCCAGGAGACAATTTTTTCCGCAAACCAAGGAATTTATTTGGAAAATAATCTGAATAGAAAACCGTTAACTGACATTTTAAGAAGTTTATAAAACAGTGATGTGCAGCAAAATTAGATTCTCATGTCAATCCAAGGTATTTGATGGTTTAATGCTAGGATTCAATCACTTCTAGGACATATTATCCAATATTTCCATTATCCCAAGATCTCTCAGCAAAAAGAACACCCCTTTCACACTGCACACAGATTACTTGGGCCTTATGGGGAAAGTGAATGTAGTTGCAACTCAGCATCTAAAACAATCTTAACAGTGTGATTCAATAAAATCCCTTTGTGCCCCTAGAAAAGCAACACCAGAGAGCATGGAGTGCTGTTATATTGGCCACCAATATCTTTACAGAACTTTATGGGGCACAAGGCAAAGGGACAGTATCACCACACCCACAATTAAGTTTTAAGTACTCACTATAACTACATGCTATGAAGCACATTATTTCTTTTTTTTAAAAACACGTTCTGTAAACTAGCTAAGAATCCATTACACTGGATACCTGAAAGTCTGAACCTTCATCAGTCCATTAGAATCCATTTTTCAGTTGGTAGTTTTAAACAGACAGATGAAAGAGGTTGCAGGTCCCTCCCACATTCTAGCATGCAACTTAACACCAAGTTCTAAGCCGTCCTCTTATGACGTTTGTGCCATCCATCCCCTGACATGCTGTATGAGAAAGGTACAGAAGTTAAAGCATAGGACCAGGAACACATGAAAGGAAAGGATTTATTAAACCAAGTTCCTAATCAAATTGACAGCAAAGTAGGGAATCTAAAAGTACTGGAAAACCCTGCAGTGCCTTACAGATACATACTATACCCAGCATACTACTTGCAGTATCAGCACAAAGGATCATGGAAAGATATCGTTACTTACACCCTGTTTATATTTCAGGCCTGGAAAACAGTATCCTCTATACAAGCATTTCCTCAGGTCCAGTAAGCACTGATTAATGACCTCCACTTGCAAAGGAGGCTACTTACCTTAACCATGAAATAATGAATGCTATTGATCCGACAAGCTACTGCTATAGAGTGTTATTGATCGCCCAATCTTTGGTTAAAATGGTCCTCATTTAGCAATTTCACTGTCGCAAACACCTGGAGCAAAACACGCTTATAATTAAATAGTTTGGGGGAGCTAAAGTGAGAGGTGATGGACAGAGATCTCAGCTTTCCGACATTTATTCCTGCTCCTGAGCTATTGTTTGTGTCAGGAGGGATATTGATTTTCTATAAAAATAAGAAAACAAGAAGCACCAAGGGGCTGCAGAAGGTCAGGCTGGGCTGAAGAAGGAGGGGGAGACTGAACACTCTGTCTTTGTCACTTGCCTTATAGGAGAAGGGGATTTTTTCTTTCCTGAGAGATCAGCCTCTAATACATCAGCTCAGCTGGACTCATGACTGCCACTACAGGCTGTCACCAAACCTGCTACTTTTCAAAAGGAACTAAACTACACACCGAGGGAGTAACTAGTCATTCTATGAGCCTAGAATACATCAAGATAAAACAAGGGCTTACCTCATCACCGGCTGGTACGACATCCAATTGAAATTGAGTGATACAAAAGACATCTATTGTTATGTGAAAAATTAGACAATATGTCATCCGTGAACTTAAGGAATCACGTGCATTACTCAAGGATGATCTCACACAGCTCTTGGACTATTCTGGTTTGATCTGCCCTATATAATCACATTAAGCAGACAATTCAGACAACATATGCCTTAGACAAATGAAACAGACATTTAGGGTCTCCATTTATAATTTGTCAGTTCCCCAGTATGTGGGAGAACTCCCAAACATAAAAGGGTGACTTGGTTGCGAGGTCGCTTAGAAGTAAAACCTCTCCAATCACCACCATTATACCGGCAGCCCAAAAACGTCAAAGGTCTCCAAAAATTAATCCATTGTTTCTCTCACTCTTGTTTTCCCCTTCCTTTTAAATATCAGGCTTTGAAAACCCTTACATACCATTCTGATAAGTCAATTGCTCCCTCACCATGTTTTTATGTATCTTTTCTTCCTTCTCTTCATTTCAGTCTCCATTTCCCCCATTTTTATGTGGGATATTTCCTATTTCACTATGTATGTGTGTGGGAAGATACTGCAAAATTCATTTAATCTATTATATCCTATTCTGAAGCCATGATATGGTAACAAATCTTTCTCCAGTATAAGACTGAATGTAACCCCACTAATAATCTACCAAAGCTGCTTCCTCATTAAGGTCCTGATCCAAAGTTTATTAATTCAACAGAAGTCTTTCCAATGACTTCAATAGGCTTTGGGTCAGAGCATAAACAAAGGAAAGTGATGCAAGTGCTGTGTGTTCTAACTTCACAGAGATGATAGCTCCTGCTAATCCAGGAGGAAAGAGAGTGGGAAACGTCACTGCTGAATGATACAAGCATTTGTTCCCCTACTGGCTGAGTGTGCTATTTCTGCAGCACTCCCAATCTCTATTGACAGGAGAAGCAAGAAACCCAATTCAATCCCAAACTGATAGCCTGTTTATGGCTATATTCCTATTTTTTCCCCTTCCTGTCCAGTTTTTACACGTTCCTCGGGATATGCCCTTGCTGCAGCTGTAAAAGCACTTCAGTGGTATCATTTCATCTACAGTAGAGTGAAAGATGTATACGTATCCAGTTTCACGCTGCTCTTTCTAGTAGGGAACCACTGTATTTAGTTCAGGAGAAGCAAAGGCACGGCCCCTTCCTGCTGCCAGGAGCATTCCACATGGAGGAATGATGACATGTATTTCTCTAACTCTACTTCCCTCAGCAAACCAGAGTCCAGACCATACATGTGGAGGTGAGAGTCAAACATTTGATCTCTGGATTTCCAAAGAGAATTCCAAAGATTTGTCAGCAAATTACAAATGTCATTTAATGCAAAAATGTGCATAAGCAGCCCTAGTCTACACCACAGAATTAGGTCAATGCAAAGCAGCTTATATCAGCCTCATTCTGTAAGCATCCACACTAACATGTCACTTCTAGTGACCTAACTCACCCACTATGACAAACTTAACTCCATCTGTTGAGGGAGACGTAGTGTTTAGACTGATGTAGTTAGGTCAATGCAGTTTCAGGATACATACTGTATTCCTTACATGACTGCTGCCGGTTTTCAGAATTTGTCCCACAATGCCCCACAGAATTAAACTGGCACAAGCACTCCTGATGACGTGCATCATGGCCACAAGAAGCATACTATGGACATGCAAAAGCAATTTAATGTACTGTGGTTGCTGTATGTCTGGTAACTTAGATCAACATAATTTTGTAGTGTAGACATTCCCAGATTAGCCTGAGAGCAAAGAACCAAATGAAGGAAAACAAAACAGCCACCCAGAACAATCATGTGATGGACCAAAACAAAACTGTATGTTTCCTTTCTCAATGGCTGGCATAAACCAACTGGCTTTCATCCAGCCTTATCTAAATTCAATTGAACATGATGGAAGAAATAGTGATTGGTGGAGAAGTACCTTAGGGTGGGTAGCAATGCCTATTACTGGTCCATCAAGTGATGGACTCTATCTGCCCATTGTCATTGATGTACATTCTTGAGGTGTTGCTCAATATTTCCTCTCCTGGACTACCAGATAAAAATGCCTTTTCCCATTTTTAGACAGCAAAGAAGCATCTTTTCTTCAGTAAGAAAAGTTCCACCTTGATCTATGCCTGTTAGTTAGCTAACATAATTGTAACATGCACTAACTTGTAGACAGAACAATTTTTTTTTAATCAAAACTGCAAGACTGAAAAACTGATCACTACAGAAAAGTTGTTCCATTTTCCTTTTCTGCTTCTAATACATCCTCGGAAACTTGAAACTGAAATCAGTCTCACTCATCACTTACTGGCTTGTCAACTTACAAAGACTAAAGACACCAGCATTCTGGTTTGTAACTGTGAAGAGAGACAACAGACTTTTCATTGGCATCACAAGTGTTCTCAGGACAAATGGTACAATATGCACGTCATTACTGGATCAGGAGGACAACATGTATATTCATTTAGCACCACAGGGTTGTTGGAAGGGCTGCGGGCAAAGGTTTGAACCTTGGGAAGGGTTTGGGGATTGTTTTTTGTGTATCTTTAAGGGAAAAGTAGCACTTTTGTATGAGAAGGAACTACCTAAAGTACAGCACAATCATTGCAAGCAGCTGAAAGGAAAGCTGATAATTTGAGTCTGGTAAGGGGAAGGAAAGGCTTGGGAGAGCTCACCATTCAGACATGTTTTCATCAGAACCCTGTTTTTGTTCATCTGCTTCACACTCTATCCTCTCCTTTCTGCCCCCTTTACCAAGGAAGGGCCTGTTTTCTGCTGACTCACACAGCCCATGGCTGGATGAAGTCCAAGGGGCGTTCTCCTTCCAGCGTGACAGACGCTGCTTCTTGGCTGACTTGAACCTACAACCTCTCTCATAGTTCCATTCTGACACCTTGAGTTTCTGCTGGAGGCTAGCGGCTACCTCTGAGGTCACACGTTTCACCTTCCGGCGACGCCTGAGGGGCCGGCAAGGCCCATTCTCTGTAAAAGAGTCAGATTCATGCCAAGAATGCTGTTTGCTTTTTAAGGTGGCACTAAGAGCAGGGTGGCGTCTGGCCACAGCCATGTCATCTGAGTCACTGAAGTTGGCAGTCAACACCTCACGACAGTCCTTCATGGCTTCATCCAGGCTTGACTCTGAAGCCTCGCTGTAGCAACAGGCATGCTCCGCCTGATGCGTGAAGTCAGAGCGCCGCTTACGACCCCTCCTCTTTCGAAACTGCCGCCTCTGCTGCCGTGGGCTCAGGGCCATCTCTTCCCACAGCTCATCCAGCTTGTTTTGTTCTGAGGTCTGCTCCAAGGCCGAAGCCAAGTCATGCACCAGCTCATCCATGGGCAATGTCCACTAAACATGAAAACACACAATTAACACCAGCCACTAATGTTTCTATAAAAATATGTCACTAGCTCAGCATAAACTAGAGCCTTCTTCACACCTGCAATTAACTTAGACACTCACCTTCGACCTGCCCAATAGGTCTTGCGCTACAGTTCAGTCTTCCCTTTAAAAATAGGGCTACCACTTCCCCTTCCCAGTGCCTCATGCGATAGCAATTAGAGACAAATGTATGCCTGACAGGGATAAGAGACTGCATGTTCTTCCTTGAACCACTATGTTTCAGTATACAACCTAAAAATGAAACAAACATCCACAAAATCATGGGATGTCACACCATCAGCTGCTAAAAGAAAAAAACAGGGTTGGGCCTGCTCAGTATATGGATGGGAGTCCTCTACCAGTCATGTAGGAGCTGAGAGGCTGTGTCTAGACTACATCCCTTTCTCAAAAAGATGTAAATTAGACATTTCGAAATTGCAAATGAAGCCATGATTTAAATTTCTCGTGCTTCATTTGCATAATGTCGGCCTTGTTTTTTCAACATGGGGCTTTTTGATAGAAAAATGGCAGTTTAGATGGGGATCTTTTGAAAATAAAATCCTTTTTCAAAAGATCCTGTAAACCTCATTTTTTGAGGAGTACAGGATCTTTCGAAAAATGGTTTATTTTCTGAAAGATCCCTGTCTAAACTGCCATTTTTCTATTAAAAAGCCCCATGTAGAAAAAACCGAGGCCAACATTATGCAAATGAAGCACGAGAAATGTAAATCACGGCTTCATTTGCAATTTCGAAGTGTCTCATTTACATCCCTTTTTCGAGAAAGGGATGTAATCTAAAAGTAGCCTGAGTGATTTAATAAGTGGCACACTTATTTCAGATCAATGGCACGATGTGGTACTAAGGACTCTATGCTGCATGTGTGTCAGTCTTTCCAAAGAGGAATAAAGCTAAGTCCCATACTATTGCAATCACAAAGATCACATAGTGCTTTGTCTGCCCCATTTTTGTTTTAAAATGGGGTGTGTGTGTGTGTGTGTAAATCTCCTGATTAAATTTCAATTTGTGTAATTATGTTACAGCTTGATACATCTCCCCAATCATTTCAGTTTCATATGGAATTCTTCATCGCACACCCAAAACCGTTTGGTAATTCACTGTAAGATTACACATCAGCTGTGGTGTCGCACCCCAAAAATGATTGCTCACTTACAGAGGTAGCTGTGTTAGTCTGGTGTAGCTGAAACAAAATACAGGACTATGTAGCACTTTAAAGACTAACAAGATGGTTTATTAGGTGATGAGCTTTCGTGGGCCAGACCCACTTCCTCAGATCAAATAGTGGAAGAAAATTGTCACAACCATATATACTTTGAAAACAATGAGCAGTCCTGTGGCCCCTTAGAGAGTAGCAAATATACCATGAGCATGAGCTTTTGTGGATAAAACCCACTACATCAGATGAAAATATACAGTGTATCTTTAGTTTAAAGCACTTTTGGAGAGAGATGCTACAAAAACAAGATCCCATGATTATACAATACGTAAACCCCTCCCTACTGAGATGCTGCCGACACTATCGAACCACAGCAACAATCGGCCCCCCAAGGCAGGAAACCGGACGGTTAATGTAAATGTGCGCGCATGCGGCCACAACGGCCTAAGGGAATAGGGCGCATCGTCCCTTGCCTGCTCTGAGGGGCCCAGGAGCTAGCGACTGAAAAACCTGAAGGAAACAGACAAGGACTGAAGCTCTGGGCACCTTTCTAACCCAGGGGCAGTGGGCAAAACCCTCCCCCACCCAATCCCAGCAGCCCGACTCCCCCTCACCAGCCCCCCGCTGTTACCCTTCGCTCCCGCGCCGCCCTCCCGACCCGGGCCACATACCCCGGCCCTAGCACCCCCACACCGGTCCTAAAGCCCGCCCGCCCCCAGACCCGAGCCGGCCCTCACCTACCCGCCGCCCAGCGCCGGCCTCGGCCTCTCCCAAATCCTCGGCCTCCTCTCAGAATGGTACTTCCGGCCGCGGAGTCAGTTCCGCCCCGCACGGCGCCACGCCCTCTCCCTCGTGCACACTTCCGCCCCGCAAGAGGGAGGCGCCCGACGACTGTAGGAGAGGACTGGACAGGGGAGCGGGGGGGACGCGAGCTCCGCGGCCCTCGCGAGAGGGTAGGGGGGGCTCTGTTCGCAGCTGCCTTCGGTCTCTGTCTTAGCAGCAGCAACAGCAGATCTGGCCTTGCAGCTGTGCCGCCTAAACCGGGGGGAACACACAGCTGCCCCCAGCCCATCTAGGGAACTGGAGCCGCTGCCTCCTTCCCTCCAAAGGCAGTGAGCTTCAGGGGCTTTCTGCCGTGCCCTCACCTAGAGCACCTGGCTTTAAGCACGGCGACGGTGGAGAAGTCTCAGGGATGCGTGGGGGGACACTGACCCAGCGGATGTAATTTGTTGCCTCAGCCTTGCTTCTGCACAGTTGTGAGCACAGGGCTCCTTCCCCAAGTTGCTCACAGAAAGACAAGGTGCTAGGCAAGCAAGACACAAGACAATATCTTGACTGACATAGCAGCTGTGTATGTTACTAAAGTGTGAGGAGAGGGAGGCCTGCGCATCTGTCAGATGTGTATGTGACCCAGCTAATACTTGCCTCCACCGTATGTCACATCTCCAGAGTGTGGTGTTTGGCCTGCAGTGAACAGACAGGATTACATCAGCCTTTATCCTCTTGAATGGGGTGGTGTCCTCTATGCCCAACTGTCATTTTTGTCTATGTTTACAGCTGGCACCCAAGCACAACAGGCAGGGGATATCCTGTATAGCAATGCTGCATATGTAAGTTACATACAAAAAAGCTGTTAAAAGAACACTGTTACAGTGGAGAGTGCAGCACTGAAAAGTCAGGAAGTGGTAAAGTTCAGGTTGTTCCAGGGATGAAAGTAACTTACATTTCTTACAGGTACTGTTGTCTTGTCCTCTGGGGGGAGGAGGGGAACTCAGGGTTGGGGGGTGCTATATGACAGAACCTGTAAGAAATGTAAGTGTGGGGTGGAGTGTGTGTGGGGGGGGAGCTCAGGGCTGGGGGTTTGGGTTTGTGTGGGTGTGGAAGGGCTCAGGGCTGGAGAAATATGGGGATGCAGGAGTCAGGGTTGGGGTGCCTGTGGAAGGGCTCAGGGCCTTGTGTTGGGGGTGGTGCAGGAATCAGGGCTGGAAGGTGTGTGCGAGGGGGGAGTGGGGAATGGCAAGGCTGACCTTAAGCTCCCCTGATTCCTACCGACTGCTTGTTGCTTACTGTTTCCCTTCTGTCACTGTCAGGAAGTGAGAGGAACCCACACAGCATGGGTCACTCACTCTCTGTCCCCTCCCCACACCAGCCAGGAGGAACAGGAATGCAGGGACACCCAGAGGAGAGGAGGGTGACTCAGGGCTGGGGCAGTCCAGGACAGGTGGGGGAGCATGCTCCCAGCCAGTCCTTCACCTGCCTGCTGCTGAGCGCAGCAGCCTGCAGGAGAGCCCCAGGATTCCATCTGAGAATGCATTGTACCTCCTCCTGCAGCAGAGCAACCTAGCTGGTTCTTATTCAGCTCGTGGCTTTATGTCCTTTTGCTAGCCTCATCCCAGAGAAGGCTGACTCGGGCCACAGTCACCCCTGTATGCCCCAAGCCCTCCCCCAGAGGTTCTATCAGTACAGCAGAGCAGGGGAGGGGGAAGAGAGGGGGTTTCACACCCATTCCACCAGATCACAATACAGGACCGTGAGGGTTTATAAACGCACCCAGAACAGTTACTGAGCTACTCCAAATTATGTTTTCCCTTGGGTTGCTTCCTATCACACTGGAGCTCCTCAGTTTGGGGCATGGGCTCTCTGGGGGTACGTCTACACTACAGCGCTAGTTCGAACTAACTTAGTTCGAATTAGTTAATTCGAACTAAGCTAGTTCGAACTAACGCATCTAGAACTAAAAACTAGTTCGAACTAGCGTTTTGCTAGTTCGAACTAGCAAGTCCACATTGAGTGGACTCTGAACAGGGCTTAAGGATGGCCGGAAGCAGTGCCGGCAGGGCATAAAAGGAGGACTTAGAGCATGGAGATGCTGTCTCAGGCTAGCCGAGGGCTGCGCTTAAAGGGTCCCGACCCCCAGGGGGGGGAGCTCAGGGCTGGGGGTTTGGGTTTGTGTGGGTGTGGAAGGGCTCAGGGCTGGAGAAATATGGGGATGCAGGAGTCAGGGTTGGGGTGCCTGTGGAAGGGCTCAGGGCCTTGTGTTGGGGGTGGTGCAGGAATCAGGGCTGGAAGGTGTGTGCGAGGGGGGAGTGGGGAATGGCAAGGCTGACCTTAAGCTCCCCTGATTCCTACCGACTGCTTGTTGCTTACTGTTTCCCTTCTGTCACTGTCAGGAAGTGAGAGGAACCCACACAGCATGGGTCACTCACTCTCTGTCCCCTCCCCACACCAGCCAGGAGGAACAGGAATGCAGGGACACCCAGAGGAGAGGAGGGTGACTCAGGGCTGGGGCAGTCCAGGACAGGTGGGGGAGCATGCTCCCAGCCAGTCCTTCACCTGCCTGCTGCTGAGCGCAGCAGCCTGCAGGAGAGCCCCAGGATTCCATCTGAGAATGCATTGTACCTCCTCCTGCAGCAGAGCAACCTAGCTGGTTCTTATTCAGCTCGTGGCTTTATGTCCTTTTGCTAGCCTCATCCCAGAGAAGGCTGACTCGGGCCACAGTCACCCCTGTATGCCCCAAGCCCTCCCCCAGAGGTTCTATCAGTACAGCAGAGCAGGGGAGGGGGAAGAGAGGGGGTTTCACACCCATTCCACCAGATCACAATACAGGACCGTGAGGGTTTATAAACGCACCCAGAACAGTTACTGAGCTACTCCAAATTATGTTTTCCCTTGGGTTGCTTCCTATCACACTGGAGCTCCTCAGTTTGGGGCATGGGCTCTCTGGCTTAGCAGACTCTCCCCAGTCTCTAATGCTCCTGTTCAGTCAATTGTGTTTAGGGCTTTTCAGCTTCCAGAGAGAGGGAGAGAGTCTGATCCCAGCTGCTAGAGCAGTCTGCCACAGCCACAACCTTGATTCCTTATGCCATGTGCAACTAATTTCCCCCTCTCTTTTCTTGGGGTACAGTGTCCTATAAAACTGTTGCTCCACTGGGAACATACCCCGCACCTGCTGAGGGACAGCACCTTCTTAGCCCAGTATTGCTGTACTCCCAGTTCAGAGTGGGGCCTATAATAGATGCCATCACACAGATTAAGAATTGTATTGCATAAGCATATCGATCAGAAGTAATGTAAGGCCAGTGTTAATTTACTATAAAACATCTGGCTCTTCCTTTGGAGATGCCTGAAGGAGTGTTCCCTATATTAAATTTTCCAGGATTTTGTCCAGTCCAGTTTTAAATATTCCAAGTGAGGTACTTCCACCATTTATCTAGAGAAAC